TACAATCTAGACATGTTTTCCATTGAAACATGAACGAAAAAAAATGCTAGTGGTGGGCAATTTTGAACGAAAAAGAAGCAAAGGCATCCATTGCTTCATTTAATACTGCCATATGATGGTGATACTCCAACAATATATTTGCAGAAATAGATGCTCTTCTGTGAAAAACATGTGACACAAATGGAATTAGATGAGGGACTAGTCAAAGGTTTTGAACAAACATGATGATGCGCAGTGAAATTATGTGCACAGACATGATGGATGATATGATGTTTCATAAATGTTAATGCTATGAATTTGAGTGCAATGTAGAGAGGAATTTATAGGGGTTCATAAAATACTTTATCACAAGAATAGACCACTCCATCGAGCATTGATCTTTGTCACAAGAGAGATCGTTCATTTATCATAGATTTATTTGTTTCCACATTTTTGATGAAAAATACGTTAAATATCATTAGGTAAATGAATATGAATCCTCTTTGCCATAAAATCATTGAGATCACTTTATTTAATATCAACTGCTGATTATCTAGTGGGTGGTTGTGATACAATCCAAATCTAATACTCATCATGCATCCGTGTATTACATTGATTCCTAATTTGCACTAAAAAATCATAACTACCAACTAGAAAATCAATATGTTTGTGATTATGTAGTGATCCTTCCACTATTTTTTTTTTTTGGCTAATGCAGAGGATCCAAATCCAAGATAAATAGCAATTTTCATCTGGCAGGTCTAGAAATTTGCCCCAATAGTATCCGTAAATGACTTATTATAATTGTCTTTAGATATGCATTAATTTTACAATTTCATTCTCCTTGATGTGTCCCAACCTAATTTTAGTGGTTTCCTAAATAGTAAAATCAAATAAAAGTAGGTAAAAACATCTACAAATTACATGATCTGTGATGTTCGGTGATCTTATTGGGCTCTATATTGCTCCGTCACTAAGCTTAGCGAATCCTAGAAGTGTCCAAACGAGCTTCGGCCCGGACCCAGCCCGTTGTTCGGCTCGGGTTGAACTCGGACTTGGCCCGGGTAAGGCTCAGAAAATCTAGGCCGGCTAGGCTTCGGGCCTG